TCCTGGGATCGAGCCCCGCATCAGGCTCTCTGCTCAGCAGGGAGCCTGCTTCCTCCTCTTTCTCTCTCTGCCTGCCTCTCTGCCTGCTTGTGATCTCTGTCTGTCAAATAAATAAAATCTTTAAAAAAATAAAAATAAAAAAAAGAAGAAGAAAATTCAAGACCCATAGCCCTGATGAATATAAAAGCAAAAATTCTCACCAAAATATCAGCAAACCAAACTCAACAGTACATTTAAAGGATGCTCCAGCATGACCAAGTGGGATTTATCCCCGGGGTGCAAGGATGGTTCAACATCTGCAAATCAACAGAAGCAACACGTCACATTAGGAGAATGAAGGATAGGGTCACCAGGGTGGTGCGGTCGGTTCAGCCCCCAGCTCTCGGCTTCGGCTCAGGTCGTGATCTCAGAGTCATGAGACTGGACCCCACGTCCGGCTCTGCGCTCAGCACGGAGCCTGCTGGAGAGTCTCTCTCCCTTTCCCTCTGCCCCTCCCACTTGTGTGCATGTTCTCTCTCTCAAATAGATAAATAAATCTTTTTAAAAAACAGAATGAAGGATAAAAATTATATGATCATCTTAATAGATGCAGAAAAAGAATTTGTCCGAATACAACATCCTTTCATGATAGAAGCGGCCAACGAACTAGATGTAGGAGGAATGTTCCTCACATAATAAACACCGCATGCGACAAGCCCACAGCTGACATCCTACTCAGCGGGAAAAAGTTAAAAGCCTTTTTTCTGAGATCAGGAACAAGACAGAGATGCCCACTCCCTTCATTCCTCTTTGACGTAGCACTGGAAGTCCTAGGCACAGCAATTAGGGGAGAAACAGAAATAAAAAGTGTCCATGTCAGAAAGGAAGAAGTAGAACTACTTCTGAGTGCAGGTGACATGATCTTACATATAAAAAATCCTAAAGACTAAAAAACTGTACCACTAAAAAACTGTAAGAATGTGAATGAACTTAGTAAAGTCTCCGGACATAAAATCAACACACAGAAATTGGGTGCACTTCTATACGCTTACAACAAACTATCTGAAAAAGTATATAAAGAAGCGATCCTACTTACAATAGTATCAAAAATAATAAAATGTTTAGGAATAAGTTTAACAAAGGAGGTGAAAGATCTGTACGCTGAAGCCCATGAGATTCTGATGAAGAAACTGAAAAAGACACAGAAGCAAAAATGGCAAGACATTCTGTGCTCACAGATTGGAAAAAATTCATGTGAAAACGTCCATTCTACCCAAATCAATCGACAGATTCCCTGTGATCCTAATGAAAATTCCAACGGCATTTTCCATAGAAATAGAAAAAAAACTATCCTAAAATTTATTTGGAACCACAAAAGACCCCAAATGGTCACACTGAGAAAAAAAAGAACAAATCTGGAGGCATCACACTCCCTGGTTTCAAGCTATAAGACAAAGCTGTGGAAATCCAAACAGTATGGTCTTGGCACACGTACAGAGACACAGACCAGAGGACTAGACAGAGAGCCCAGACATACACCCACACACGTACGGCCGGTTGATTTCTTCGAAGGGGAAAGGACCGTCTCTTCAATGGGTGGTGCTGGGAAGACTGGACGTCCACCTGTAGAAGAATGAAAACTAGTCCCCGCTCACAAAAATTACCTCAAAACGGATCGGAGATTAAATGTAAGACCTAAAGCCATAAAACTTCCAGAAAAAAAACATGGGAACAAAGACCCTTGA